CGGGGGTAACATCCCCGGTTGGTATTCATTTTGGAGAGCACTGTTTGGGGCAGATCCACGTGGCAATGGGCTGCTAATGCCACCAGATAGATGAGGACATCACTAAGTTCTTCTTGAAGGGCTGCCCGTTCCCTCAGGGGCCAGGCTTTGGGGCCAGGCTCTGCATCAGACTTCCACTGAAAGAGTTCTGCCAGCTCTCCCTCTTCCCCGACCAAGGCCAGTAGGAGGTTCCCAGGCTGATGGAGCTGGTCCCAGTCCCGCTCTGCCACAAACTCTGCATGGAGACGCCGGACTCCAGCTTGGATTCTGGGCATGAGCCGATGAGCCCGCGGCAGCAGCAAAACCGCTTCTCTCGGCATCCCTCTGCGGATCACCTCCAGCACTCGACGTGCTGTGCAACCCGCTACAGACGCCACTGCACAGAACTCCGCGCCAAGCTTCTGTGCAGCGTTTTCTTATAAACCTCAGTCATGTGAATCAGGACCTACAAATCAGATGAGTTCTGAGGCATTGACAAAGTTACTAGTCTTGCAGAATTCAGAGGTTGACCTTGGACTTGTAAGTTCAAGATCATATTTCTTTGGAATCAGCAAACCAGTCTTCTTCCACACCATCTCTGTCCATCCAGCCCACTGAATAAAGCCCAGAGAGCCTTTAAATTTCCTCTGAAATTTCTGTGGGATTCAGGGCAAAGACATGAGCAACTAAGAGAAGGGAGGTGGTAGGATCGGTTAAGTTTGGATGCTAGAAAGGCCAAGGCCAGGGATCCTTCTAGCTCACCACAAGCCCCTTTCTCTAAGAGCTACCCCTATCCACACCACCCTTCAGGACTGAATACTGCCAGTGTATTGTGTGGTCAGCAATAGTCACAGTAATTAGAGGAGGGGAAAATATTTGACCCAAGATGAACCAATTCGTTTCTTACCTAAAATCCTGCAACTGGGACAGAAAAACTCTACTTTATCAATTCTTGTAAACAAAACTAAAGACACTAATTCAGGGAGCTGCCCAGTAAGGTCACCCTTCTGGCACTCTGAGTTTGTCACTGTCTTAACAGCTGTCACAACGTATCTCTTTCTTTTCCAAAGGACTTGCCCTGGGATTATGAGTTCCTCAAGAACATAGCCTTCTTTTACATCTTCATATGCATAAAATTGTGCCTAGAATTTGACACAAAGTATGAAACAACTGTTGAACTCAAACGGTAGAGCATAGAATGGCTGCAATACCAAGGTTCTTGATCTACTGGACTTAAGGAGAACACTATAGCGGATCTTTTGAAGAACATATTAATATTTACAAAAATTGACTGGCTAAGGTTGTTGCTCAGTGGTAGAGAGCTTGCCTGTCAGGCACAAAGCCCTGGATTTGATCCCCAATACAAAAAAATAAAAAAGAAGAAGGAGAAGGAG